CTAACCACGATAACGCATTTCCGAGAGCCAAGGCCGCGGTAGTGTGGGCCAGGTGCACTTGACACCAATTTCCTGGAAATGAACAAGGTGTTGACAAGATTCTGACCACAGATACAACAACACAACATTCAATTTATCGTGTGACCTTGTGCTTGACCTTTGATTTGGACGACAGACATAAACTCAACTGATTCGAAATCTCCTTCCATATATCGAGTACGTTGTGTCATATTCCGGCCTACACCTACATGGTCTCTGTCTCACTCACTCACTCACTCACTCACTCACTCAGTCTCTCTCTCTCTCTTTCTCTACCTCTCGCCCACCCCTCAGGAGGTCTGGACGGACTGTGCTGGTATTTGGTATGTGGGTAGGTCTTGGGAAGACAAAGGTCAAATCAAATGTGTGTTATGTGTATGCAGGGCTAAGGAAAAACAAGCTAGCTGTTCCATGAAATGCACACCTGTATAGTATGCACACATCATGCAATAAAATGAGGAATACATGATCTTCAAATTTTTTAATGAATCCTAAAATAAACTGTTATGTATGACAGCCACGTGGTAGATGTTAACCTCGCGAACGACCATACCAGCCGATGATTCATGTGAGATTGCCTTAGGTAACGTGGGAAAATGTGCCCAGAATTCCCCATACATACCCGAGAAATGCCCCTGACGCAAATAGGCCGTCAAAACCATAAGTCAATCACACCACTTTGGTTTGATGTTGTCCTCCTTTCCAGCATATTAGGCGCACACTGCGCTGTGATAGTGCATTCTGTGTACGCTCAAAGAGTGACAGATTAGTGTTCGTGTCAAGCTTGTTTGGACCAAACAGAACGCTATGGGTAAAGTACTCTCCAAGCAGAGGTTTGGGTTGGGGGTTATGTTTGGCGTGTTTTTAGGCTGTCGATGTCACACATTTACTTTAGAACCTTCCCCCGACCGCCTAACAATCAAGGTTAGGCGTAGGTTGAGAGCAATTTGACCAGATACGAATCGAATCAGATTTGAGTTCAATTTGAGTCAAATCTGACTGCCAACCATGCCACGAACACTCCAAATGTTCAAGTTTAATTTATAACATCTTGAAACATTCGGCAACTGAACAGCAAATTGGATCTTCTCAGGCCAACTAACTCCCTTGGTATACTATTTTTCCAGATATCCACGGCGCCTGGTGGAGGCTAGAACAGTAGCCAAGTTCGCCCACTAGCCGACCACAGCCGATATTTTTCCCGACCTACTCCCAACCATTAGTTGTACAGTAGGCTCTGACCTTGTCACAGTGTATTGTGGGTATATTCGACCAATAGTTGAATATGCCACGCCCTGTTGGAATGCGGGTATCACAAAAAAACAATCGGACAGCATAGAAAGAATCCAGAAAAGGGCATGCAGAATCATGCTGGGTAGAAGCTATCACTCGTATTCCGAGGCCCTGTCAACTCTTGACCTCCAACGTCTGTCTGAACGGAGACTGACCCTGTGCCGGGCCTTTGCCCTTTCAGCCACTAGGTCTAGGCACGCCCCCTGGCTACCCCCAGTTAGTAACCACTCACACAACATGCAGCTAAGCCTAAGGCAAACACGGCGCTACAAACCACCCATTGGGACAAAAAGATATTTATGCAGTCCTGTCCCCACAATGCTGAACATACTGAATAACCTTGCCATACAGTAGATTTCATTTTATGTTGTTGCACATGATGTAATTGTACTTTTTTATTATTGTCAGTTGTACTTAAGTAATTTGCCAACAGAAGTTGTATGATGTAATTTTAGCATAAATGTGTATTATTCTAGCGTATAAGTGGTGTTAATGCCTCTCAGGGCACTTTTTATGTATATATATTATGTATTAGTCTTGTAGTTTTTAAAAATTTGTAAAAGCTTCTCAATTCAGCCTTTGGCTGCAAAAAGCTTCTAACCTACTGTACAATGTATGTATGAAGTATGTGTTTCTGCAAATAAACCAGTCTATAGGTCGGGATCCATGGTTGGGAGTAGATCGGCAGTGTTCTGGAGGCCATATTCGGCTACGTGTGACAGGGGCTAAGCAAGGTTGAACATATTAGCGATGTATTTGGGCTTCATCCAATTTCGCAACTGAAACCCTTCCCAAGGCGCTACCCAAGACGAAGTCTATGACCAAACGTGGCTTCCCCAAACAAACAAACGCGACACCGTACGTGGTCCCTATCACTCGTCAAGACGTTTTAAAGTCGAACAGACAGAGAAGATGACCCCATTTTTCATCTACGGTATGAATGTCTGGCGGACGAGAACGAGGCCAATGAGACCCAGATAACCCTGGGTACGAGACCACCATCAAGGTCTCCATCCCAGCGTACTATTCATCTCAACCAACACAAAATATCAACCTTGCCCCAACAGAATTAGGACGAGTTTTCAACGCGAAAAAAATTGGCAATCCAGATGACGACGCTTTCGCGGTCACTTCTGTACGGCGAATTTGTCATTACTTGTGAACAAATATTCGCCAACTTTCTTTTTGTTGCACCTGCCGTCACCGTTAACGTAGGGTTCCGTGAACACCTCCATTTTTCTCTGACCTTGAACTCTTGCTACTGCAAATATAAATTGACTTACAGTACTCTCCTAACATCCATGTGTGCTGCAGGGACGTTGCCAAATCATTTGAACAGACTTCTGAAGGTAAATAAAAATTCAAAGCAACTACCAGACTTGCTTGCTTTGAAACGAAGCACCATTTGTTGCTGACACCGCTAAAGCGAATACGATGTCCGTTTCCATCTGTCTTCTAGATCTACCACACAGGTTTACAAAACAGACGACAGTTGTAAATATCAACGCCCTTCTAACGAAGTGTTTGGAGATGTTAAACCGACACCCTCAGCCGTAGGCTTGCCCTGGTGAGCCCCCACGACTTACAAGTGGTATGTCAATGTATGTAGAGGACTTGGGTTTTGGATACAGATACTTCTGACGGCTGTATCAGTTACCGTACTCCGCCGTGTATTTGCATAACTTCGCCGTGACATCTTCGGCTGATGTGTTGCCAACATTGCGGTAGGGGCACTTACGGTGGAGCTGTAACACGGCCAAGTACAAACACAACTTCAAAGGGACGCGTCTGTTCATAGATAGCCTGGATGTCAGCTCAGACACAGGCGGCTCGACACAAAACTCCCTTCGGCTGGGGGAAGCCACAAGGCCCGATCCCAGAGTTACACCTGGGGGTCTAATTTATCTATCTGAGGGGGTGTCTATGGTAAAATGTTCGGAGCTGAGGAGCTAGCCGCCTGTATGCTGCCCCTTGCAACAGTCTGGCACTCAGGCTGATACATGCTGTTTGTGCTAGCTTCCACCAGGCCTTCCTTCGGGGGTACGGATCGTAGAATTCGACAAAAAAAGGGAAATAATAATTGGCCAGGAGAGCCAGTCCGCGGGAAGGTTAATTTCCCCCTTCATGGGCAAATGGCTTAACTCGACTGGCCTTATTTGACTAAATTTGAACTTCTTTGAACCCGCGTTGTTGCAGTAGGTGGTGGGGACTATCCTGGTGACGTCAACAGAAGCGCGAGTTTCCTGCACTCTGGTTGGCAGACATTCAAGAATAGTTTGGCAGACATCCCCAGACGAATTAGGCCCACCTAGCAGTCTAGAAATGTGTTTTGCGGGTTAATTAGGGTACTTTTTATAGATACATGTATAGGCTACAAAAATCATTACTCCTATTTCCAAAACACAATCTATGCGGTATGATGTTTACCTCTAAGTGTAAGTCTACATTGTGAAAAGTATGCGTATGTTTCTGTATTATATAAAGTATATAGAGCTAGGGGAGTCTCTGTGCATCTAAATCTAGATGTCTCCGCCAGTCACTCTACGTGGGAGCATGCCCCGTGGTACAACTCTCAAGTGTTATGTCTCGATAAGCAAAGTGGTCGTTCCGTCATAAAAGATAAAAAAGACAGACGAAACAATATACAACTTTCGATTACACAACACACATCAGCAAGACCTACTGTCTCCACACCCCCACATCCGTACCTTTATCCTCCTCCTTCCTCAAGTCTTCCCGTATGCTTTCTTAGACGTCTGAGGAAGTCAGATTTTTCTCAGAACGTCTGTGATCTTTCGTTTCCTGCTATAACGAGTTGGTATGTACACATGGTACAAGGCCATGCAAAGGAAACAACAAGCACCGTAACGGTAAACCAAAGTCAGACGGTAATGACCGAACAGGTGCGGCGCACAGTGTGCGGAGGAAAGGCGGGTGTTTGGCCAGGCATTTGTCACGTGGACGCAAAACACCACATAAACTTCTCCCAGGCCAAGGGACACCGCTGTTTGAGTCAAAACACTACGGCGGCATCTCCCTGTCTCTACTGATACAACAGTAAACAGCGGAGACCTTTCCATCAAATAACTCCACGACTGTAGTCTGCCTCAATATTATGTTCGCACACAGAGTAAAAATGTTGAACAACAAGTTGATGCTAAACTACAAAGCTGCAAAGCAGTGCAATACATCGCTACTACTTACCTAAAGGCGAGTTTATGTTTATCTCTGCAAATAACCACCAGTGATCTTGCTGCTCTCCGTGAAAGAAACGCCCTACCCACACCTACGGAACACTGTGTCTATATGAGCAGTATTCCTTTACCGATAAACAGGAAGAAGGGTCTCAAGTAGTGAAAGGCTTTGTACTTTTTTCCGAGAGTCCATGAGTCATCGAGAAAGGCGCTTTTAATACAAAGGTCGATTGAATAGGGCGTAATAACGCATACCGCCCACTTCTCAGCAACATAATTTTCCACTGAACCGTAATTCCTAGGGTAAAATGTTGGAAATTCCAGCGCCTTTTGCCTGCCCTAGCTTTACTCATGTCCCATATGCCATCTCTCGTTGTAAATTGGCCCTTGACTCAAATATGCTACCGTGCTCCGCAGCTGTCTGTTATGGTACGGTACCCGAACTGTGATCATATGTCACGATTCCTGACTTACCCCTGGTCTCTCGATCACGGACGAGGCACGGTCTAGATCAAGGGCACCTCACGGTCACTGCACGGCTCACAAAGGTTCCAGTCAGAGCTCAAAAGCCATCCGCGAAGTAGACAGACGTTGCCGGACCTTTTTCAGAGGCAGTTGTGTGACCCGTTTACGTGATCCCCAGTCTCTGCACACACAGCCTAGCGGGGAAGGACCATCTATTTTTGTAGAAACATGTGTGTCGCATCAGCCCACACCAAATCGGTTCTGCACTCTTCCTCCGCTGAGGAAAAAGTCGTCTGAAACGACTCCCTGACGACCCAAGAGCCCACCCAACAGAGAGAGAGGGAGAGAAGTACGTGGGAAGTCTGTCTCACAAATCGTAAGTCTCGGCTAGCGACAAACTTACCTTGGTCAAAGTTGACGGCTTATTCAAACATTTCCCCTTGCCACGCCCACGCCTCGGAGGAAGAACCAGTTCCGGCCCCCGGCGCTTTCAGATGGGCAGGCGGGGACAGGGAGTGTTTTACCAGGCTTGAACTTGTGGTCCTCGGCTGAGAAAAGGTGGTCCGTGGGGTCACAACAAGCTAGATCTCATGCGGTTCTGCCGCTAATTGATTGTTCTCTCCCAGAGAAGATGGTGAAGTGGCGGGGAATGTGCCTGTTTACCCCCCGCCGGGGGATAATGTTGACAGATTTCAGCCCTCTCGGCATGAATAATCGTCCTCAAGATGGGCCCTGCGTGTTCGATTGCACACACACAAACAACACGACTTGTCCACTACAGTAAATTTCTATATCGCCCCCCTTTTTTTCCACCCAAATTGTCCTCGTGGCGCCGCTGGAATCTTGTGCCTGTGGAATGAGCCGCAGTAGACAAGTCTAGGCACCCGTCTGGTCGATTCACGCAGAGGCGTTTTATTTCCTCATCCCACAGAGCAGTCGGTAGAAGAGAGTAGAATGGGATGGGGTGCATTCACAGTACAGGACCTCTGCCAAAGACAACCTAAACTTTGTACCCCTGACTATCTCAACACCCAAACCAAATCAACAGTTTTCAGTAAAGGCTTAGCTGTGCACTATATGAAAAACCACTCAGTCAGATTAAAATGATGTAAACTTTATCTTTTTTTATATATTTTGTCTGATCCTTGTCTGATCCTTATCTGAGCTGCTCACAAATGAAGAATAGTTCAAACATACAAACAAACAAACAAACAAACAAACAATCTCACCTCAGATAAGGTTTCACAACAATCTTCCCTAAACGATGTTTATACAGACAGCGTAGATGAGAAACAACTTCAAGCACCTACTGAAGATATAAGCCCATATAACAGTCACAAGTACGTGCCATGCTTACATCTGTCAGTAATCAAAGACGTACTTTGACATTTGTGCTACGTGGATGTTTTTTCTGTCACTGTTTGACTAGCATTGTGACTTTGACCCCCCACCCCCATATCTTGTATTTCTTACGTGCCACCCTTTGAACACCAGTAGTTATCCTGTAGCATGGTCATTATTTATCTCAATGAAGTATTTCTACAATCTGACGTAGGCCTTCGGGAAACGCCGAAGGAATAACCACCAAATTAGGACTAGCTACCAAGGGCCTGTTCATGCCTGACTTCACTGACGCTGGTAGTCAAGGTGAGCTGTAGCCTGGGTGCCAGACTATTTCCAGGGCCTACACAGGACAGTACCTCGGCTCCAGTGCCAACATGCTTCCAATTTTATGCCACAGACCCCCACAGACCAACTCTGGGCCTGGCCGCCCTGGCGTGCTCTAGGCTAGGTGAGCCGTTGGTATTTGGGGCATGTTATGTTCAACACTACCATCACAAGGTATCACAGCACGTCAATGACTGAATCAAATTTTACCGAGAGAGTATGACAAGGCACCCTGCTATACGCAAAACTAGAAACAGACGTTGCGTACTTATCACGAATACTATGTTTTGACGTCATCTTCCTACGATCACATCTACATTTCTGATTTGGTTTTCTAGGCCTCACTCAACGATTGACCAACAGTTTCGCTGACGCAAATATAATCCACTCTTTTTACACCCAACTCAGAGGTGTAGATGTGATCGTGGAAAGATGACGTCAAAACATGGTATTCGTGATAAGTACGCAACGTAGGGGCTGAACAAACTGTTGACATTACTGTTGTAAGCTGAAATAAGGTAAATAAAAGCACAGTTTATCTGAAGTTTCGAAACGTGTTCTGGAGACGAAACAGAATACACGAAGACCACCTCGTCGACTTACCGGTATGCCGGAAACCATCAACCACTCCAAAACCCCCAGAAGTCAAAACAGATAAAGTACACTACACAAACCAGTGTCTTGTTGTGGTTTGTGACAGATTCGTGTGCATGGCGTGAACACGCGACATGTCCCCGCCCTACCTCTCTGTCTCTGTCTCTAGAGAGAGCGTATCTCAGAGCTAGTCCTAGCTAGGCCAGGTGGGAGATAACTTTGGACGCAGTGCGCTATGTGTCTGGCATCCAGGCCAGTTGAGGCCGCTCGTTAGCCTCTACCAGGCTTTGCGAGGCGGTAAAGTGTGCTCTCTAGTGGACCAACTCTTCTGGCATGTTATCTCTCTATTTGGCCAATTTCTACTCTTTGCAGCCGCCTCCCGAAGCCTGGTAGAGGCTATACCTGTCATTTCCGGTTTCAGTGGACAATCCAAGGCACCATACAGGTTGATGTGTGTGTGCTTGCGGCCATTGCTACATATTTAAATATCGTAAACCATTTTTGAGACAGAGTAATTACCTCACAATCATTTTTTGGGGGGGAGGGGGGGTCTTCCAAGTTCCTAGTCTTGGCAAGCGTGAAGTTACGTGATACGCTCTCGGGTAATACCATTTGACTTTTGATAACCGTCTATGGACTTTTAATACTGCCGTTATCTCCAAAGAGTGATGCAGCCATCTAGTCTGGCTATCTGTGTGTTCAGATTACTGCGGGCGCCAGTCCAAGAAATGTAATTAGCCAATGACGCGCTTCCTTCATCTTCAAACAGCACTGAAGCACCGAGACTAAAAAAAGTTGAAAGATGACCCTCGCGATAACGTAATTAGGTTTCAATACGTGGGTTATTTTACCAACCTGAAGTTAGCCTTCGATTCAGCCTTCCATTCGCAGCCTTAGATTGTGCCCTCGATTCGACTTGGTGCACACGTTTTAAATTTTTAATCCAGGCAGCACACTTGTTTGAGATCATTATGGATCAAATACATGTGGTATATGGCTGCCCCAGTCCACGCTTAAAACAATTATTTTAGTTTCTTGTGGTACTAGTATACAAGGACATATAACGCTTCATTCATTGGTTTAGGGCCTAGTGATGCCTCTACTAGTATCAAACACGTCAGGTCCAGATGAACGGTAAATATAACCTCCAAGCAGATCCAATTTTTCGTGGCTGCAAGACAGTATTTTATTTGCCAGGCAGTTATATACCATTTGGTTAGCTTAAAAAAATATACCAGTCCAAAAAAGAAAGCCCGATAAAAGGACCTAAAACGTACACGTCAAAGATAAGCCGAATCTTAAACCTCTGCTTAAACTTAAAGAGAACAGTAAATGAACAGACGTCTATGAGTACATGTGAACAAAACACTTGGACCTGTGCCTTCACAGTCCACCCCAGCGCCCCTTCCCTATAAATCTCCAAGCAGATATTTTAGTGGCCGATAAGAACGCCTAGAACACGCTAAAAATACGCCGAAGCCCAAACCTCTGCATGGAGAGTACCCCTCCCCCCAGTTCAGGAAAGGCAACACTATCTCTGTATCTACTGCTGTGTGTAGTGCTGACGTAAATAACATCCGATTGGCATCGTCTTCCCAGCCGTTGACAGACACAGTGATGTTTCCTCAGCTCGAAATGTATTTATAACTGGCAATGCCATGATACTATCATGATACCATAACAATGTATTGGCTGCCTAAAAGATCACGATTTTGCATGGAGTAAAAAATGTACAATTTCGTCTGGAGGCTTTGGAAACACAAGACAGGACATTTTGTTCTCCAAAAAGATAACGATGAAGTCCAGGACACAAAGCCACGATGGTTCGTCATGTTCAATAAAATGAACTACTTTTTATACGTTCAAGAACATTTGGATAATCTGTGGTAACATCATACTTGTGTTTCGTCAGTCAGAGTCAGAGTTGTTTGTTGTCACTGAGTAAACCTCTTGGTAAACAAAGGTAGAAACTCGCCAAATTTCCTGTCTCATACACAACATCAGGTTGAACTTTTATATTTCAAACTTACCTGTACGCTGAGAAGAATTCTGAAGCAAGAAGAGATACTGCAGTAATGTCCAAATTTGGCCCTGGTGCGGTCTGGTCAGTCTGCTGCCCTACATTCCTTCCCGCTCGCCTGTCCTGCTCATCTGGTCCCCATCTCCACACCGGACAGAACTGGGACTGGCTAACGGGAACCGGCTGATTTTATTTTCAACGTCTGTCAGACTAGCATACAGGACTTGACATTATCAACAGTTTACGATGAGAAGAACGGCTTTACGTACAAACCCGCGGTAGAATTTGGGTCAAGCTCTGTTCCGAATCCGAAGAAGGGCTGCGTGAAACAGACACGAGATTCCAGGACAAGATTGTTACGAATTTGTCCGGCCGTTCAGGCGCCGTACGGTCGGGTTACAATGGGTGTAAAAATCTGATCTTCAAGCAGATGTCTGGCGGCAAATGCGTTACGGTCTGAGCTGGCCATCTGGAGAGAGCCCAAGCAGATGTCTGGTTGCAAAAGCGTTATGGTTAGAAGTGGTTAGTAGAGAGAGTATTCACTCGGCGAATGGTAACTGGCAAATGGATAGATCTACCGCCTGGTCAATTTGATACTACCGCTGCAGAGTCATCGAAAGATCTACCTGGAGATCATACTACTACGTTTGCAATTCTGGGATTTGACTTCTTTTTTGAAGGCTGTGGATAATGAATTGTCTCAGGTTCTGCATAATGAGTAGGTTTTGTGATCTTTGATATAGTAGAAACTTAATTTTTTGGTGATCTAGATGGTAAAAGGACGAGGAGATTACTGCTTAAAATAAATGTGTTTCTGTTGATCTCTTGATCGTAGTGCTAGTGAGAAGTGTTTCATTTCCCACTGCATTCAAATTAACTAATCTTTCGTGTATGGGTAGATTTTAGGTCATTTTATAGGACGTCGTTTCTGCATGTACATCTGTTTCAGACATATCTGCACAGTGCACATTACGAGCTGCCAAGGTTCTAGATGTGGTACCTTGTGGAGCTCCCTGCCGTCCCAACTTTAACCTTGACCTAGCCCTGATCTATAGCAGTCCCTTTCATTCTAGTTATTCGTCAATACACATAACCGGGCGCTGGGGATAACTACATACTACCCATATATAACACCATTCCCTCTGGGTCTTTGGCTGTCTAGTTGCACACTATACTGTTTGGAAAGAACTCATGTCGTGCTCTCAGCAATAAAACATTAACACTATTGTAATGATCTAGCTATTCAAAGTTGTACCGAAAGATACAGGGACTTCTCTGAAGGTAGCTTTTTCCGAGCAATTTGAAGTATGAAATGATAACGAAAATATGCTACCAAATGGCAGTTAATGTCAATATCAGACATCCTTACTCATCAAGAATATTTTCTTCATTTGGCTACCCTGAAATTGCATTGGAATTTACCATTAGCGTGACTCAGAGCATGACTGGTGTCAGTTGTTTTGACTCTGCTATCTGGCACCAGGGACATGTACACACGGAAGAACACCGCTTGATGGGAGTTACGGGTGTTCACGCCGCGTAAGAATGTAAACAGACTCCGTCAAAGGGCACAGACAGACGAGACACGTTGGCACGAAGGCCAAGGTGCTGGTACGAAGCCAACTGGAAATCGTGATGGAGACGATTCCCTAAACTGCAGCGTGTAGTTAATTTCACTACCGCAAGGTGGCGTTCATCTTGCGAACTGCTGCATTTCACTGTCGCTGTATTTGTGACTTGTAAGGATGATAGTATAATCTTAGTCTGGCCATTTTGTCGCGGTCTGTAACTTCTACATAATTTCTATAATGGTTATCATATTTTCACATACATTTGTCTCTTTGACTTGGTATATTATCTAACATTATATGTTAACATCCTTCAACATTATGACTGCCCAGCTTTGACGACAACCATCAATGTATATCAGATATTAAAGAAGTTGTATGTCTTGATGTGTGGACGTTGACGTTTTCCGGTCATATATCGGATATAGGAAACCTATTAAGGTTTTCATCAGTGTTGAAATGATGTTTTGCACGCTTTCTCAAATCGATATTGACAATCCTTCACCTAGACAAAATAATTAATGCCTCCCCAGTGTAGGGTACATAATCAGTATCTAAACCATCAATTGTTTGTCTGAAAACCACATGCATAGAACAACCAAGCAGAACAGCCAAGAACAAGAATGCCGAAGGAAAAACATTGTTTTTGCTACGTTTCCTCTTCTTCTTCTTCTCTGAACAGTGACCTCTGCCCTGACTGAACCAGACTGTCTCTCAACATGGTAACTGGTGTTGGGTTACATAATGTTGCAATTTTATAGTAGGAGGGATTTAGACTCATGTCACCATATACATGTATGTGAATGTGTTACCATATGCGAAGGTTAACATTATGCACTTGCTTTGCAAATGTTACTTTTCTAGTTTACATTATTTTCTGTCTAGTCTAAAATTGCCGGATGTCTACGTCAGCTTGATACCGTTAGGTACAAGAAATAAGAGATGCTGACACGAATTGGGTGGGGGGCTTTATCTTTGACCTCTAGGTGACTTTTAGGAAATGACGTCAGCTAACGTCGTATTGACTGACATCCTGGCTTTTATTTCTCTTTGAATTTCTTGGTTACAGTCACGCTCCCTCTAAATGACAGATTGCTATCTAGAATCACTGACGCCTTCTACTAGCCTGCAAAATATCATTCTATTTAAACCATTTAAGTATTTCCACACTTTCCACCAATCAGCGATGTGTTTCTGTCAGACATGTCAGGTCATGTCAGAACGAGTTTTCTTTTCTGTCAGACGATCTACCCACCACGTCTTCTGCGTTTTGTAGATAAGGGGCTTGGAATAAAGTGCAAAGTCTCAGGAGTACAAAACCGTGTTTCGTTTCAATTCTTAATTTCGGCGTTTGAAGAAATTCGTGTGGCATGGAGACTTTATGGTATCAAATACCTCAAGAACGACACTTGTCAACTTCAATGTTAGTATTATTAGAATTCCGTCAAATGCTTTTCAAGATAACTTAAGTTGTTCGAGGTCTCAGGGGCACATTGTGCTTCTTAATTTCGGCGTTTCAGGAAGAAATTCGTATGGCATGTAGACTTAAGAGTATCGAATACCTAAAGGAAGACACTTGTCAACTTCAATGTTTGTATTATAAGAATTCCGTCAAATGCTTTTGTATGGCATCGCGAGTCTTAATTAAAATAGATTAGTGTTAAATACCTTAAGAACGACACTTGTCAACTTCAAGAGTATAATAAGAATTCCGTCAAATGGTTTTGTATGGCACCGCGAGTCTTAAAAGTGTCAAATACCTATAAAGAACAACACTTGTCAACTTCAATATTTATGTCATTAAAAATCCGTCATATATATATATGCTTATGTAACTTAAAACAAGTCGACGTCAGGAAAATAACGTCAAATTCTAATATCTAATAAATTCTTGAAACAGAATTTGCTGTTGTCATCCTGTATTGAGCTAGTCTTGTCTTGATATGCGTAAGATTTATTAGAACAACGTGTGCATTCCTGGCCCCGCCTCCGTTTGTGTCCCAGGACGGATATATCGTACTTGATGAGAGGTGATTATGGACGATGTAGCCTGGATGCCAGACCCAAAGCACACTGGACACAAAATATCTGTGTGCAAGGCTCACTGAGATATTTGTGTCCAGTGTGCTATGGGTCTGGCATCCAGGCTATGGACGATGTTGTTCCTGTAAGATGAGGCTGTGACGAGGGGGGTTCTCCCGTCTCGCCCAGGACGTGACCCGGCCCACCAACAGCGGATGCCGGGATCTCCGGTGGCTGTACTCACACCCCTCGGGACAGGCATCTGTCAGAAAAGGTCAACAGGGGCCCGCTTACACTAGCCTTCAAGCTAGCTTCCATAGCATGCCAAAAACTGGGGGTTTTGGTGGTCTTCGTGCTCTTTGGGAGCTTTTATGTGCTATTTTCTGATTGCAGGCCTGGTTGAATTACCCCCTGCTACCCTCAAGCAGAGGAATCAAGGTCTAACTGAGGGGGTTGTGGTACTACATGTAGTATAATTTCCTTGGGGGTATGTTGGCCATGGAGTTGAGGAACTGGCCTACTACTATGCAAACAGCCTGGCACCCAGGCTATTATTTTTTACCTGTGATAAGGTTTTTTTTTTATTGGGATTTCCTTTTTGGGCTGGTACCTGTTTTATATACTTTCTTGACAATTTGATTTTGTCACGGAAAGGCCACTACAATAATCGTTTGTTGAAGACCGAGAAATGAGCAACTAAACCACTGTTGTGGAAGCGCCCTCTCTCGGAACTAAGAATGACGACAGTGTATATGAATGTGTGTCAAAGTGTGCCAGTAAAGTCCCAGCATATATTTTCTACTCTTGTTGACAAGGCTCGTTAGCGAAAATTACCTTCTAATGGTGACAAGTCCAAATAGACACATGACAGTCTGCTTCGGTATCCATTTCTGTTCCATTTGTGTTATATGACCTTTCATAGCCTTTGGTCCTGGACTTACTTTTGGTCCTTAGAAATGTGTCATAATTTCATTTGTTAAATTTAGTGTGTGTTTCTGGTGTAACTATTATAGAAATAGAAGCAACACTTGTCGGTATTGTCAAATACTAGAAGTAGACCAAATTAATCTTATATATGACAAACTAAAAACAACGTTTTCCGCTCCTTGGGTGCTATTCTTATGCAAGGTAAGGATGACCGAAAAAGGGCACGTTACACTGTGCGGCCCCCTAAGAATTGATAATGATAATTATGTAATCTGTTCATGTAACTAACTCCATTGAACAGTATTCAACAACTAGAAAGCGATACTTTTTCATAAACTGTGGAAAAAGAAATATGAAAAACTTTCATAAAGACATGGGAAGAGAAAGAATACAAAATGCCATCTGGGCATAAGCATTGATCACGACAGACCCTTGATGAGGTAAAGTGAGATGGAAACCTGACTGAGATGGTGCCAAAACATGGGGGCAGCAACCTGAGGTCAGCTTGAAAGTTTAACAATAAAAGTAACAGACAAGCCTGTTCCCAGGTAACTGGAGGTCCCGGAGATCAACAGATCTAGGCGCTTCATCACATCGGAATGTGGACCCAATTTAGCGCCCTATTTATCCACGAGCGATTTGTTTACTCTACTGCTTGTGTACTGTTTAGGTTTGGGGGCCTGTGAACCATTTCTGGCGCGTCTTGGGGGATCTTTCTTGTGATAGTTGGTCGTGATTGGACGATTTCTGTCCCTTCTGCTCGCCGATTGGAGGACGGCCTGACAAATGTTGACTTTGAAGTTTACACATGCCAATCATGAGTGTGACCCTGGTCGGCTGCTACGTTTGGCGGAACACCCTCATATAGCGGCTATCAAAAAGCAACTTGGCTTCTTTTAAACAATCCAATTACACGAATATCTGCTGAAGCGCATGCAACAATACATTATATTTATACAATGTAAAGCACAACACCGTGTATTTTCCAATCGCGTTGTTTGAAATTGACAAATTAAGCGTTCCGCTGGGGGAGGGAGGGAGTATGTAGGACAGAACAGCCGCAAGCCGATCCCCACGCACTGCAAGCCTGGCATTCGGGAGGCCGCTCAGAGGCAAGGGAAACAACGACGTCCTCTTCGAAGAAAAACTGAAGAAAATAGAGGCCCCTTGGCTCCGGAATGCGCCTAGTCTTGTAGCAGACAACAGCATAGAGTAGAAGATTACGCTGCCAACGTTTTGAGGTGAGTCTGTTGTGTGAGGTTGGATGGGTTTGTGGTGGAACCGCTACTTGAAGCCAGCTGAGTTGGACGCCAGGCAGAGCGCGTCTGTGAGCGGCTGTGATTCATGCCGTCCGCCATCCCGCTCCCTTATCTCGAGTATTTCCTGTCTGTGCTTTAGTATAGCTTCCCTTCCCCACCAACAAGTCAGTGTAGGGTTCCCGTTCTTCCTGTGCAGACGACAGAGCTCCTGTAGGGTGAGTTTTGTGCTACAAGTCGGTACCGTACGAACGTGTTGATTTTTGCCCTCCCCCATCTTTGTTATCAATATTTTTTTCCGCGGGACGCGTTCTGACGCTAGAATTCCTGCTCGTAACAGCTGTGACTTTTATCTGGATCTAATGAGAGCGAAGGACACTGTGTCGTGTTTCTAAGAGGGTTTTGCTGACGTATGTTTAGGGTTTCTGTCTGGGGCAACAGTTTTCAGACAGAAGGGGGGGGGGGGCTGGCTAAACCTGAGGCAGTGTTGGCCATACCAATTATTTACAAATGCTCAAGCTCCAAAATGTCCAGACCACTCCAGGCATACACACACAGATGGCTTTCGTTACTTTACCGCTGTGAGCTTTTATCAGAAGAACAACAGCTGGACCATTTCTCCATAATTCTTCCCGACGGGAATAATGCCTTTTCCTCCCCTAACTTCAAAGTTTTTTTTCGCGAAGCGGGGAGTTTTCGTAATTTGAACCATGGCACCCACAGATATGCTCCATAGGTAGCACCCTTTTAGATTTTTAGCTGGATGTCTTTACCTCACAAATACTAGTACTCTATTTTTGTCATAAATCATATTTAATTAGATTACTGGTTAGTGATTACTTTTCCATCTTGGGTGTGATAATATGAACAATCTAAAATGATGGTCAGACAAAAATTATCGAGATGGAAGTTGAAGTAAGAAATTATTCGATTTCTCAAGGGCCATTCAAAGCACTGGAAATAAAACAGCCTAGTAGAAGATGTAAAATTCCTTTTTTTTTGTCGTAACTAGATGATGAAGGAAGACATGTAATAGGAGATGTGAGTTGGGGACACCATGTGGAAGACTGGATTGTGCTAATGGGACTGAAGTGGGCACAGGGTTGGCAAACAATTGAGTGAAATCCGAACCAGACTGGTCCCCACACTACAGAATGACCAAATTGTGTGGCCTCTGGTGAACCCCTTATTTCATTTTTACAGCAAAATTCCATTACGTCCGACAGAGAGAATTTGTCATGACTAAAACTAAAACCCTAGCAGGAGATTCTTGCATCAAATGTGAGCTTAGCCATTGGTGAAGACAGAATTACCCCAGCAACCACCATACCTGCATTTGTTATGGTTATTGCCTTCCCCATCTGTTAATGATCCCTCTATTAATAAAGATTCATTTGTTTGCAGTAACAAGTAATGCAGGGGTCTTCATAAAATGTTCCATTAGAATTTCTACGGAGGCTCCACCGCAAATATCTGCTTTGGGTTTTTCAAGCTAATCTGTGGTGCTGGTAATGTGGTATGTGTTTCGCATCTGTTATGCTATGGAGGTTTAAATCTCCTTGGTTCTGGCTGCTGTTTTGCTGGAATAAAAATACTAGAGTCTTCTTCCACGTGTGAATTGTCCTAGCAAATAGAGACTGTACCTTTTCACAAAGCAAACACTACTGAATTTGCAATGGTATGGGGGTAATCAAAGGCGGGGTTCGGAGCTAATTGTTGTGCATAATCTGGTCATGCCGGCTTTCTCGCCTTGCCTCAACTAGTTTTCAGTTTGGTAGACCCTTTCTCATTGGCGGTTTTGTTGCCTCTCCCCATGGTTGAAAATCCAAGCACATTCTCATGGATTTGGTTGGTTAGGAATGTGCGAATTGTGTGGGAGGAAAGGCTATGGTTTACTGGGAGAAACTGGATAGGTCCTTGAAGGTAGCAGCATGACAGAAAGAGATAGGTGATGGGATTTTAAGATCCTCCCCTTGTTTTCTGACACCTCCGGGTGTGTACAGGAGTACTGGGTGCCAGGCCGGTTCTGATCAACTGGGCAGCAAATACGAACAGGGACAAAGGACGGATGTTTGCCTTTGCCGAGATCAAGTTTTTTTCCCATCCCCCTGAAAATCCAGCCTCTTTGTTGCATAATTCTGTGTTTGCGGATGATTAAGCAAAGTAATAGATGATACTTCACACCGCCTCTCTAAGTGGTTAATTTTGGCAGCAGCAAAGAAAAGCAAACCATTAACTAATGGCACACAGAATGGTGGCTGCGTATTTACTGTGTTTTAGACCTTCAACTTGTTTTTCAGGAGGTACATGTGTTCAAGAGAAATTTATTCATGTTATTGTGTCATCAGTCGGTATATTGAAACAGCTGGGTTATCATCAGTTACTTTTGTTGAAATGGGGGTGGGAAAACATGACACATTCTGCACAACTAATTATGTTCTATCCCTAATCTGATAGACATATGTTCCATATCCTTATTTAAGAACCACTAGCCAGTCGCTGGTTTATCTGGACCTTTAAGGTCTGTTTTGTATGGGAAATCTTTCTTGCAATGTCTTCATCATCACTCATGTGGGGAAAACTGTCCTGTGCTTGATTAAGAGTGACGTGCGAGAAAGCATTAGGAGTATGCAGCCTTTGTAATATCGACATCCACTCCGTGTTGTTGGGAAGAGGCCAAGTGTAATGTTCAGACAGCAAGGTGTTTTTCCAAGGATGCGGATCAATAGCAGGCATGCCCGCTTCGTGGGATAGTCACGGTCAGTTGTTGCCAAGAAAAGCCCCGTCTTTTGTATGGTGAAGCCGGCTTTCAAGGTTACGTTTTATTGATTTTTAACATGAACCTGATGATACAGCTTTCAAGGGGGAATGGAACACCAGCAGTCTTAAGCCAGGCACCAGTAGTACAGAAAAGACCCTGCACAGTGCTCAAGTGTTCTGACCCATGCCTAAAGGTGCCGTGCTCCCACGGTACTGCTTAGAAGGAGGTCTGTCTGACATTAGCCATACACCTGTAGAACCCCAGCTCAGGTAACAGCCATGTTATATTGTTGTGACCTCCCGCTACCTCCTGTTTTGTTTCCCCATTGTTTGCCAACAAAGGTGTTTTGGAGATCTGTGCTTGTGGGTCTGTTGGTTTCCCACCACCTAATACCACTGACCAAGAGAAGTTCATGTATAATGTAGAAAGCGGTGAAATTTGTAACATGTTTTTGTTATGGTTGTTCTGCTCTGTTTGCAAGGAGAGGAGAGGAAGGTTTAAAAAAGTGGCATCGATACCTGAGTGGGTTGCAGGATTAGCGAATGCACAGGATTGAGATGTCACTGGTTCGATTCCCAGAGAGTCCTGGCTAGACAGTGTGTCCTTCTTTGCAAAAGAGAGTTCTTTGCAAAAGTCAGAATTGATGAAGATCTTGTGATATTTATTCTGTTTCAGTGTTTGAAACCACAATTAATATTGATGCAACATGACATTCTTGGGAGCACCTGTTCTTACCTTCGGTCAGGTGTTTCAATTATGTGTCCCAGTCTAGACTGGTGGTCCCCTGTGACACACAGCCTCAGGCTGGGAACCAGGTGTATCGATGTAAACACGAGAGGACACAGTCAACACCCCCAGAGGCTAGAAACCTCAGGTAGGCACACAGACAAAAGGCCCAACTTTCTATAAATAAAAGATGTCCCAGGAAGTTTTGAAACACATGAAATCACTATCAGAAACGTTGTTAGGAAGGTTCAATGGTGTGTGGAGAGAATTGCTTCTGCCATCCGATTGCATTAACTGGATGTAAAGATTTCTGGAACTCTTCCAGTTTTGAAGGATATCCTATTAAAAGAACACATTGATTGGTCTGACCCGGGGTCATAGGTACTTTATCTTGTTACTGTCAGTTATATAATACAGTTTGAGGGCCATTTTTTGCCAGCCAAGGCAACTTCTACTGGAGTTGGTAAGAAAAGTTGTGGACTAGGTGAGGCACAACACTGCCACTGAAGACTTTGAGCTTTACCTGTATGCATACCACGTTGCGTCACTAGCATGGGTGTTTATATTTGATTAACCTTGGCAAAGGTGTAGACTTTAAACTCCCCCAAACTTGTCACTTAGGACAGATTAGACTGCCATTCTTGTCAACAACACAAAATCAGGAAAGACAGATGTCCTTGTCAACTTACCATGTTGTTTTCAAAGCCAGCCAACAAAATGTCTGCCTGCCTTTTTTTTTCTTCAAGAAAAGGTGTATACAGACTTGAGCAGTCAGGCATAAATAAGATGTTCCGGGGTGACCTGTAAGGAGCAATTAACCTGTCCATTATAGTCAAGTGCCTGCTTGTAAGAATCATCCTCTAGAAGAACAACAGTACTTGGGAAACACTGTAGTGTGCAGAGACGTAAACAGAGGTAGTGTAACCCTACCTGGAAGAGATACAACTCTGCAATCGGGCAGACAAACAGATACAACCACTGGAATCAAAGAGAAGGAAGAAGATATTTGTTCCAGTAAAGGGACAGAAAGGATATTTTGTGTGGAAAGGAGGAAACAGGTGATAAGGTGTGTTTGGGTTTGTTTCCTTTGTCTCAGGTGAATAGATGACAGAGTGCTCATCTGCTTTTAGGGCAGAGTGAGTGCCATAGGTGTGCAATTTGTTTAAAAGGTACTGTTTTTGGTTATGTTTGTGTGTTCGTAGCTGTAAGTCACGGTGCGTTTGACAGATTTCTTTCATTTTCAGATATATGATAAGTTCTTAGTGTCCAGATAATTCGGATTGTTTTTTTCTTTCTGGAGGTTTAGAATCTCAGACTTCTTGTTATTTCTTTGTGATCCACACCGACAAAGACTCATGTGGGCCCCACATGAACTGTGCCGACGCGACGGAAATCCTGCGTCTATAGTTTGTTGACGCACCTGACGAGACAGCGGCTGGACCTCGGACTTACAGGTAGAGTAAGTAATGGGAAAAGCAAACTAGCCAAGTGGATATCT